ACCCTCCGCCGGAGGCCGAAGTCCATGAAACGACCCTCTTCAAAAGCCGAACTATGAAAAGGTTGTTTAATTCTCCCCAAAACTGTTCAAAACCCTGCTACCCCACCGTCCACCAAAAAATTCGTTTAAGAAGTACAAAAGTGAAAAAGTCAAAGAATGATCATTATTGATGAGTCCTACCAAACGAGCAAACGAGAAACGGAGCAAAAAACGACAAACTAGTCACTAAAAATGGCATACTATGACAACATCTCTTCTTTATTTATTTCCTTCACAAGACTTACCAAATTCTAGTACTACACAGATTATGGTTCTCAATTTACACGTCCCCCTTTCAGTTGAAAGAAGCCTTGTAACCGCCTTCGCCAGCTGTGTGTTGACTGATCTTTGGCGTTGACCGTGGAGCAGCTTATTACTATTGAAATTTGAACAAATATTCAAATGATTATAACTTTCTTCAAAGTATGACGAATTTTCAATCTGAAAGCAGATTTGGGAGTTTTGTGAAGAGCTCTTTCTAATCAGTATTGAAATTACAAAAATTTATAAGAAATAACAAATTTAGATCAATTAACGAGGAAAATTCATGATGAGCACGAGTTTTTACACTTTCCGAAGCCATAACTTGCTTCATTTTCGTCAAATCTGAAAAGTTAATACGTCATACAAAACTAGAAGATTTTCTCTATCAAACGGTTACTAAAGCAGCTTTATACGTCCAGTAAAATGGCCACGTTGAGGATTTTTGCAAAATTAACGAGGAAAATTCGTGATGAGTGCGAGTTTTTACGCTTTCCAAAGCCATAACTCCGTTCAAACTCATCCAATCTGGAAAGTTAATACGTCATCATAAACTAGAAGATTTGCTCTATCAAATGGTTACTAGAACTGCTAAATACGTTCAGTATTAAAAAAATGGCCACGTTGAGGATTTTTGCCCGAGTACCGCCGAAAGGTACTTTTTCGCTGCATTGGCACTATTTCAACGACTATAGCTCCTTTCAGGGGCGATTACATACTAAAGTAGGAGCAGATTCGAAATCCTCGTGCTTTTCTCTTCCAAGAAAGTGTAAAATTGTTTAGCGTATCTCAACTTTAAAGGTTACATGCTTGTGAATTTGACGCTGAAGGCTGCGTTTCTTGTTGAATGGTGTACTCCTCCTGTAATTTCACATGAACCTTTCAGAATCCTCTTGATTTTTCCTGAATTGAGATTCTTTCTCAGAGAGCCGTAGTTGAAGCGCGCGCAACCAACTGGGCCCACTCTGGGATGCGCCGTGTGCTTCACATCCCTTCAGATTCGAGGACTCACTTGAAAGATAAAATATCCTTGGAAAAAATTATTTCGAATTGTTTAACTTGTATGGTGACAAAACCAGGATCATCACCGTCAGAGGACAAGTAACTAAGAATTGCTAAGCGGACATCTCTGAATCACGAATGTGGGCAGAATGACATTGTTATTGGAAATCCTCTGGCCTGGCATCGACCCTTGATGTTTGTCCTCCGGTGATGATCCTACTGCGTCAATCGGCCCGATCTCTTCCCCAGCGGGCCAATACGACCCCCCCCCCTGTGACATGTCGAGGATTCCTCAACGCACGCTTGACCCTGCACGCCACGCCCACTGTGGGCGGGGCTCCGCTTAGGTGATGTATGTTTTTTACTTCTCGAGATATGGTACACCCATCCCAAACTTGACCTGGACCCAGTAGGTTGTTGTCCGCTTAATACGGAATTTCGTGACAGACAGACAGACAGACTTAGCGCATTATATATAGTAGGGATTCTTCCATGTTCTCTGCTACAAAACGCTATGTCCCAGACGCTTAGGAACAACAGGTGCTTCAACTTCGTGTGCAGTTAAGGATCAAATCTTCCGAGTGCTTTGGAGGAAGAGAGAATCTGGAGTAGGTGAGCCATTTATAGTATGGAAAAGTTCAAGTATGTTGAATCCAAGCAGTCACAAACCACTGCTTAGACGAGCGAGAACCAAGGGGGGCAGCACAATGAGGTCCGAAGAGCCATTACAAGTAGCCCGTAAACCGTAACAGGTGAACGTGGGAAATCCAGAGCCGAAAACCGAAACGCGCGCTGTCATCTATTTATTGTTCACATTAATCGTATTAATCGTACGCAAGGTCTGAGCAGTGCTCACGTTTAGCGAAGTGGAGAGCAGATCAAGATAAATGGTGTAAAAATAAATATAGCAGCAAGAGTAAGTGTAGAAAAGGGAAATGGAGACCATAAGAAATGGCGAGGACGACTCCTTGGGCCGTATTCATAGTTTACGACTTCGGAATATGGATAGTAGGCAAAGACATGTACTGAATGGGTGACTAGCAGACCAGCGGATCGGCGATTTCAATCGATATGTATCTAATCTTTTATGGTCAGGGCAGAAAAGAGCAAGATATTCTGCTGAAAAGATTAGATACATATCGACCCATTTGGGGATCCCTTTAGGGAAGAAAATTACGAAATTAGGACAGGATGTGATCAGTAGATTAGGACAGTAGTCGACTAAGTTTCGTTGAAATACAAAATATGGGCTCCGTGACTATTATTACACTCGACGGCGTGCTTGAGGCAAATGTGGACGAGTCGCTGATGGTTTCGAATTCGGATTCGAAATACGCTCCCTTCAAAGCGGCCTTTACGCAGCAACCCTTATTAGTGGGAGCACTACCACTCGTCCACTTTCGCCGTAGCCACTCCTTCAAGTGTAAAAAAAAGTGACGGAGCCACTATACTCGTATTGATCGATTCGACTGAACGTTATTCCACTACTCTCTTGCTACCCTGACCGATACGTATCTAATAATTGCAGCAGAATTCCAATATCCTACTATTTCAATTACCTCTCGCTCACCATTCTAATCCCGAAATCGTGAACTGTAAACGAGCCCTGAGACCTATGAAGAGGTGACACCACTGAACATAACAAACTGATATTGAGAATATAAAAAATAAACAACGCCTGTGTGCAGTTGCGACACCGAAACTGCAAAATTTACACACTATAATTATGAACGGCATTTTTCCTATCCAGGTCAGCTTCAACATTTATTTTAACACTAATATATTGAGAAAAAATGATGTAAAAAATAAGGTTCGAAGTGACCGTAAGAAAAAAAAACAAATAAAGTGACTCACCTTCATTAGTAGCTACATACTGTTGAGCAAACTTCTCCATGATTCGATCAATCTTCTGTGATTCTCCAGGCAGACGGAAAGACCACAGAAATGCTCTGCAAAATAGCGGGTGAAACAACGACTAAGCAACACTTCGAGGCCTGCATGCATATCACCGACGTCTGTGAAATATATTGTAGAAAAGCGGATTCTGATCTGGAAGCCCAGATCCTACGGCGCGGCAATAGTAAAATTGGCAGTGGGCCCGAGCGCGCGGAATGTGCACTGCGCGGAACATCGAGTACAGACATCAAAACTTTACGTCACTTCTGTACAGCAATGTGACGCTATGGACCGACACCCCAAACGCTTTCTGACAAAAATGCGAAACTACGCGATCGCAAAAAGATGAAGAGTGGTAGAAGACGCGCGCATGTTGAACAAGCGCTTATAATTTTTATAGGAACTCGGCAACAGTAACAGCTTAGGCCGGACGCATAGTCGGTCGGACGACAGCAACGACTGCAAGTGTCGCACAGCATTGGGTGCGTATCGATCTGCGACACTTGCGACACTTACGACCGCTGCTGTCGGACGACAGCAACGATCGCAAGTGTCGCAGATCAATACGCAGCTACTATTCCACACTACAGTGGGACTTTCGAAATACGATCACGCGCAGTCACGTGTTGTCTGGGTTTGCATTGGGTGACCGCGTCGCCTTCCATTTGCAACCGCGGTTTATGCGACACTTGCGGTCGTTGCTGTCGTCCGACCGACTATGCGTCGGCCTTAGGAGGCGGAATAGTACGTAGTAATAGTAATAAATACATAGTAATAGAAATACTTGAGAAAAAAAATTTTAAAAGCGAACCTAAGAGCGTCAACTATGAACATATTCTGGAAAGTGTGACACAGCACAAAGTGATCGAGCACTTCCAGGTAGAACGGTTCATGCAACCCGAGCAGTTCACCAATGGCCGTTTTCGAAAGCCCTTCGCCCTAAACACATTTGAAATGAGCTTCGGTAATAAGACTAAGGAATCCGAAGCTTTTGAGAACCAGTTCATTGCAGAAGAAATAAAAATGGCTCACCTTGAACAACCATTGAGCTATAGCACTCGGTTGGCGGCTTAACAATCCCCGATCAGTGAGATACTCGATACCCCGTACAGGATCCTGATTGAACTTCTTCTTTCCCGTGAATATGAGCTTGTGACGTGATCTCGAGCCTTCATCGACGTAATATAAAGATTCAAGCTCGGCATCAACGTCTCGGAGCTGGAAGAATACGAAATGAAGATCTAACAACCAATAAAATGATATTGGATGCAAATGATGAGAAGATGTCAAATAAACACATTTTATAGACTGTTTGAAAAGCTTCCTCTAGTGACCATAAGTGTGTTCAATATCAATGTTATTCTCCAGCTTAAATTCATCTCGAGAATATCAAATGTTTAAGAAATTACCAAAAAATAAACACGAAGTTCAAACCGTTCATTGCATTTTATTACGAACGCTTTTCCCCACCACACTTGATTAATATTTTCAGTTTTTTACTTCAAATTTACCATATCTTGTCATGAACAAATATAATAGTATCCAAAAAAATGCTCAAAATGCCTCTCCCGAAATAACTTCAATGTCATGTACTCCGTAACGACTTTACTCCTACTATTCGCATGATTATTGATATGTTGGTTGCTAATGATTGGTTGTACGCAAGTTTTAAGCAAAACGTGAACCTTAGGCTGATGTCAGAGTCCGCAGGTTTCGCTGAGTTCAGCGATTTGCGCGATTTTCGCGACGGGTCACGGAAATCACAAGTGCCCCATCAATACTGCAAGGTGTTCTCCAATCCGCCGCCACTTCTGCTTGATGTGATGGCTGAATGACGACTGCTCATGATTCCACTTGTTTGATATTCAGTGTTTCAATTGTTCAAATGGGGCACTTGCAATTTTTGCGATCCGAATCATGAGCATTTCAATGAACTGATAGACATTGAACATGAAACAAGTAGAATCACGAACAGTCGTCTTTCAATCTTCACTGTCAAGCAGAATTCGCAGCAGGATTAAACAGCACCTCGCAGTATCATCGGGCACTTCCAACTCCTGTGATCCATCGCAAGTTTGCGAATCGAGCGATTCGCTAGCGAATCGCTCGATTCGCAAACTATGACATCAGCCTTGTGATCCGTCGCAGGTTTCGCGCAAATCGCGCCACGAAAATCGCTGAAATCAGCGAAACCTGCAACGGATCGCGAACTCTGTCGCCAAACTAGACTAACGCATTCGTAGATAATACGCGAAAAGTACACAAGTGATTTGAAACGCACTTCAATGACTTAGTAATTTCATAGTAATTTTCTGGTTGGAACACAGCTACCTCCATGTTTATATTTCCACATTAATTATTCCTTCCCACAACAAAGTAACAGTAATTCAAGCCACATGCCAAGACCGAAGCAAAGGTTTAACGTGAGCAACAGGGATCAAATTATCTGGAATGCGTATAAGGTGTGATCGCGACATCCAAGCCTATGGAAAAAAGAGCGAGATCTAGATTATGGCAAAAAAGAAGATGATGTACCTGAGAGCGTGATTGCGTTGTAGCATTCATGGCAGCGAGAGAAAAAAGAAGAGGAGTGTAGAAATTATGTCGGCGGCGTAACAGAGTCTCGGCGTGATTGTATTTGAACGCGGCTAATGACAGACAAACACTATCGCACGTCGCCCACAAAGTAGTTTAGCGTGAAAACAGACGAATACCTTTCATTTTAAAGAATGATCAGGTCAAAAGCGGATTTTTTCGTGAATTTCGAACGACACCAGTCAAAGGGAGAAATATTTAGATAAAATAAAGCAAATTACACAGAGCGTAAGTGCGACTAAAATGGGAAAAGTATAGGAAAGGTGAGAGTAATGAAGAATACGACTCCATTCCCTTCTCCTTGAGAACAACTTTCTTGAACTGGACTAGCTCTCTCGCTATCCCCTAAGAAAATACTTCACCTCAAAGAAAGAGACTCATTATTTTCTACAAACTCTGAAATTTTTAGGAGTTACTTTGCGTAGTTATTCGACATCCCCTCATGAAGCTTAGACAATGAACAGAATTCTGAGAAAGTCTCTCAACACTAGCAGAAAACAAGGGGACCGCCTTCAAAAGGTGCAGTCGCCAACGCCTTTGCATTTTTCTTTGAATACGAATATTAGCCTAATGAAGCAAATCAGCATCAAAAAAGTGTTTGCCACTAGTTTAGGTTTTGTTCACCACACCACAACACAAAGCAAAGCCGAATTGGGTTTTATATCTGTTGCCTAATGGCCGATGTCAGACTTTGCGATTGGAGCGATTGTGCACAAATTGCAGGAGCGACGGATCGCTTGAGCGATCCATCGCTGCGAGCGACGGGAGATTTACACGGCCGACCAACGATAATTCGGCGCCATCAGCTCGTAAATCCCGTCGCTCGCAGCTCCCTGCCACAACGGCCAAGGCACTTATCACGGCCCGAGCGATGGATCGCTTGAGCGATCCATCGCTCCAAAGTGCGAGCGACGGGAGATTTACGAGCTGGTGGCGCCGAATTATCGGTGGTTGGCGGTGTAAATCTCGCGTCGCTCGCAGTGCGAGCGACGGGACATTTACGAGCTGATGACGCCGAATTATCGTTGGTCGGCCGTGTAAATCTCCCGTCGCTCGCATCGCTCAAGCGATCCGTCGCTCCTGCAATTTGGTGCAAATCGCTCCAATCGCAAAGTCTGACATCGGCCAGTCGGTTGTGCCCGCGAACTGTGTGGGTAAATTTGAAAACGCATCACCACCACCCAAATCGTGCAGAAGGTGGGGGAGCCACCGAGCTTGTAGTTTTTGACAGAACACATTCAAAAAATCATCCTTCGTTTATGAAGTGATTCACCACAGTGAGCAACGATACTGCTCTGACACATCATCGGAAATCGTATAAACAACATCCGCAGATGCGTGGTCAGCTCCGAAAAAAAGTAGAGCGAACTGCCAAACCCTGCTCCAGTTTATATGCTATGGTTGGTGACACTTTTATTATAGGAAAAAAGAACCAGTTCAAACAGAAAAGGATTCCGTTCGTGTCGTGCGAAATTCCCTTTTCATGGAAGCCATGAAATTAAAAAAAAGCTGAGCAAAGAAAAATGCCAAAAATAATGCCAGAGAGTTCCATAGCAACATTTGGTGTGCCTATGGATTTTTTGATATCTCTCTGCATATCTTGGTTAGGTTCTAAAATTAGAAGAAACAGGTTACAAAGGTGTTAAGAAAAGCGAGAAGTAACAGCTAAAACTGATGAAATCTATGTTATGGCACTAGAAGTGTTTAGCAAAACCGATAACTGATAAACGCACTATGACAAAGTGGACAAAACATGGAAAGTGGATTTAACCCGAGAAAATCGAATCAAATTCAGTCAAACTGTATTCTAAGTTCCTATTCCAAATAGGAAATCTTTTAACTCGAAAATAAGTTCATCATAAGGATGAGCTAAAAAGAAAGAATTCATCTAAGGAAGTACAAGATAGTAAAAACAACAGAATGAAAAACTCTACCTCATTCTTGATGTGATCGATCTCACTCATGAGCTCCATTTTGCGCTTCCGCAATATTCGCAACTGGCTCATCTCCTCTTCGGTGAGATCTGCGGGATTGAAAGCGCCCGCCATGATGTTTCAATCACCTCATGCAACTCCGTTTGATACCTGGCCAATTTATTGTTATGTCAAACAATTTTCAACAGAACTAGGGACCACGCCGATAACAGATTAGTAAAAGCTCAACAAGTGGAAATCGTAATATGTAAGGAACCCAAGATACGTATGGTCAGGAAATTGTGAGTGGCAAGCAATCATCCGCCCACAGAGGGAAGAACATTTTAGTTCATCTGGGAGTCGACTTATCAGATAAGATCACTCTGCAAACTTTCCTTCCCATTTCTCAAAAGCAGAGAGCAGTGTAAAAGGACAGAATGCAAAACATTAGCGGCCACTCACTCTCTGAATTTTTTTTACAACTTTCTTATGCCCTTTAAAAGGTAATGAAATCCCCTTCTTCTGCCACACCTTAACTCTTACTGAGTTAAGCCTAAAGAACCGGATAAGTTATATAAGTGCAGAAGTTAATGTGAGCAAGTAATCTGATAAGCAAAAGGTATGAAGAAGACTCCAACCACCTTTGAAAACCTGAAAAAAACTTCGTACACGAACACATACAACACAGCAAATGCTAGTTCGAAGCTAGCCTTTAGGATCGAACAGATGCAACTTGAACTTCCACAGAATCTGAACCTCATGTTATGTATGCACATAGCGACATGCGTGACGTCTCAAGAATTCTTCAATCATTCACAAAAAAGTCCACCAACACTTTGCTGCAAATTTCATATTCACACTATTTATCATATGAAAAGAGAACCGAACAAACGTAAGGAAAAAACAACAGCTCATCAGAATAGTCACACAGGTGAACAATGCTGATGCGACTCAACAATCACACGTTCTGCGTCAATCCCACCTGATTGACGCGTTTACGGTGTCAAACTGGTTTGCCATTTTCCAGACGAAAAAAAACCTCATTTGTAGGAATTCTGACGGGTATGACTGGTAATAGGTTGTTCTGAGATATTGATTTTGATAGGTTGTGCAATACAAACGCAGCGCGGCAATAATGACAATTTACAATTTACAGCTTCCAAGTTTCCGCGATATTTTAGTACTGGTTTAATGAGACACAATTCTTCCAGGTTTCGTAATTGTGGTGATACTCACCTTCCTTTTCCTTTGTAACATCTCGGCTTCTTGCATAACTAGAGTCCTGTAAAGTTAAATGTCAAAAATTCCAATAAAACTATTCTCTAACCTTGAGGAATCAAACAAAGAACACGAAAGAAGAGAAACGGCGAAATATCACGTGCCACAATTCACCCAACATATGATACATTTCATGGATCCAACCCTATAAACTTGGATGTCTTGCACAACTCTTGCACACTGTTACGTCATAGTTGAGCATGGCTGACTCATTACGAAGTATTGCACAATGCCTGCACGACACTTATGCACCTACAGATTTAGAATCTTACATCTTATGGCCTATAACAAGAACAGTACCATTTTCAGGGTGAATTAGAGTCCCTATTCGGGAAACAAGTCTCTTTCGGTGAGGGGCATGTGGTGCGCCCCTTCATATTCACTAAAGTCAACCAGATTTTCGCAGAGGAAGTTGTGGGGCGTGGTGGGTGTAAAGAAGTGGAAGCGAAATGGTCCACGCACCTCGGGGATGCAAGAATCAAAAGATCTTTCACGCAGCAGTAACCGTGGCACAGATGCCCCCTCCCCACTTTCGTTGTATAACAAACTGCGAATCATAGAGTCTCCGCTTGCAAGTTCTTACGAGGAGTCTTTCAGGACATGAAGCGTTTTTCCAAAATGGTTTTCTGAATGTTGTAGAGGCTCATGTGAGGAACACAGAACCATGGTCCATTTTTCCTGAACGCCCCAGGAATGTCAAAACAGCGGGAAGAAATGGTCCAAGTTCGATCCTCCGTGATGACAAATTTTTGCAATTTATGTTGGCGCCTCCAAATTGCCGCAAAACACGACAATGACATCTATTCTCGACGATGGCGCCATTTGGCGGCAATCTGGGGCGCCAAACTATATTGCAAAAATTAGTCATCACCGGGAATCGGACTCGCAACCAGGGTCAATCCTACGTTGTTACTAGTAACAACGGGGGGTCGTACCTGGTTGAGTTTATAGGAGGGGGGTCGTATCCGCTTCAGTCGCGTGAAATTACATGTGAGTTTGTGGTGAAAGTGGAGTTTTCACGAGTAGTAGGCTAGGTGAGTTGGGAGCGCATGGGAGAAAAATTCGCCGTTTCAGCGCGCGTATATACCCCCCCGCTCGCCCCGCTCGACGGCATTTGGCTGCTGCCGTTGGTTGTGTCTTTCTGGGCTCGTATTTTTTTTCGTGGCTGTGCTTATCGGACTTGGTTGTTTTTCGTACTTTTGACGAGGTTGGCATATGGTGTTGTTGTTCTGCACCTGTGAGAAGGAAAAAGTGGGCGGAGTTTGGAGGGTTGAGTGGTACCAGAATTAAATACTATAGAGAGGAATATGGTGGTCGAGGTGTGGAAAAGGGGGTCGTACCAAGTCCACCTTGGGGGAGGGGGGTCGTAAAAATTTTGAAAAAGTAACAACGATACGTACTGACGACCCTCGGGACTTGTCTCCTTTCGCACATCCCTTGACATTTTTGAGCATTCAGAGAAAATGGATCATGGTCTCTATGCTCCTCTAACCCTCCAAAATGGCGAATCATTTAGAAAAAGCGCTTCATGTCTTGAAAGAACCTCCCTTATTAGCTCCAATGTGACCTACAGTTCTACATCACTACCAAAAAAGCCTTGTAAAAGACTTATTATTCCACATTATTATTAAGGAGTATTCGGACGTTTTCAAGTTCCGTGCTGCACACCAAGACTTCGACCTACTCGAGTAAAGTTCACAGCTACAAAATACATGTAATATATTAGAAAGAGCAGTGGGTGGACCACTGACTGAAATGATAAAACTGCAATTGAATGTATCAATCTAGAGAAATCTACACATAAATTGACCACATAACCGTAGCTAGTCCGCTGCTCGTGACGCGTCGCTCATCCGTCAACTAGCCTCACATGTCTCACTCATGCCGCCTCTAGCAGTACACCGAATATATGGTAGAGTGAGAACATCTCTAGAAAAAATGATAATTCAAATTAGAACACTTTGATGGTCGAAACTTGAGTCGTCGTCAAAACCTAGAGACCAGGCCTCGCACTCAAATCGCGCTTTCCGAACACTTATGCGAACTATTACAACTATTGAAAGCAGGGTGAAACCGGTCGAGGATTCGTCGACGCCTCGTCGAGGATTTTCGCCTGTTCAGTCACGCTCTCCCGCGCGGACATTCACTCTCGCCATGCGCGAGCCGTCTGTGCTCTCCGCGCGTACATTCACTCTCGACACTACTCTCACACTGCAGAGCCATGGTCGAGGAATTCCTCGACCGTTATTCACACCGCTTAGAAGCCACACCTCGTACTGACTCACCTTTGAGCAGTCTACTACCACACACTTGCAGCTATCACAAGTTAACGTGCGTAACGTGATGAATTTTCTGTCGCGCAAAAAAACATCAGCTAACAAAAATCAGATCAAAACTTAATCTCGATAACAAACACGATTCTGTGCATTGCAGAAGCTGGAGGGCCCAATCAATTTTTTTTTCAACATACCAACTTCAACCTATCAAAACCAAGCACACTGAAAAAGGACCGGGTTGTCAATCATACGAACCTAATACAAAACAAAAATCAATACAAAAATGGGTGACGGAAAGGTGCAAAAGCGTAACTGCCCGAATTTAAAAACAAGTAGCCTTATGATCCCGTGACCCACGCATAAAAACACAAATGATCGAATAATACTGTTTAAAATAATCTGTTATGGTGAACAATGGAGAACAAAGGATACCCGAAATTGCGCCATCTATTGAGAGTGAAAGAAAAAACAACGCACAATCCTATCAAAAACACCACTAACTTGAAACAAAGATATCCCAAACGGGCGTAAGACATCGCTGATGTATTTCTGAAGCACATTAAAAAAACAATTTATGCAATTTCAGTTATCTTTACCGCTCTCCAGTCTTGCTAGCGCTTTCTTTGACTACACGAAAGAACCCGTTGTTGTAAGTGAGAAGGTTCATTTTCACTTTCTTCATCAGGAACGCTGTGACGGTTTCCAAAGATGGCCCTTGAGCGGATGGAGAAGAGAACATGCGGTAGATACGATGCATTCGTTCCGCCTTCACTTCACCGTTATCGTGATTGGCCTTAAACAGCGTATTGATCAGTGCTTCAACCTGAGGTTCACTTTGTCACCCGTCACTCAACATGCTTCATATCCATCGTTCAGTCTTGTCATCCTAGCAACGCACCACAAACTGCGTAAGAGATTGCAATTTAGACGAATATACACAATAGCACAGAAAGCTTTCAATTTTATTAAATGACCCGAGGGAGCTCAAAAAAGAACCTTACCTCTCAGTATCTATACATGTACGAATTTTATTGTTCTCACCTTTATCGAACGATACAGTCAAGAACTTTAACAATTTTAAGCGCAAGACAACCGAGGAGTTGGACAGAGGTCAAAATTTCCACGACCCTCTCTCTTTTTTATTCGATCCTGGAACAAATTTCACCCCATCACCAACATTCCGCTGCTCGTACGCTCGCCTCCTCCGCTAACGTCCCTCACCATGTCCTCGTAAAAAATTTTGAAAAATAGCAACGATAGGACGATCGAACTCTGGACCATTTCTTCACCACTGTTTTGACATTCCTGGAGGCGTTCAGGAAAAATGGATCATGGTTCTGTGTTCCTCTGAGCCCCTACAACATGCAGAGAAACCATTTCGAAAAAGCGCTTCATGTCTTGAAAGACCTCCCTTATTAGCTCCAATGTGACCTACAGTTCTACATCACTACCAAAAAAGCCTTGTAAAAGACTTATTATTCCACATTATTATTAAGGAGTATTCGGACGTTTTCAAGTTCCGTGCTGCACACCAAGACTTCGACCTACTCGAGTAAATTTACAGCTACAAAATACATGTGA